CCGCCACCTCGCCCGGCTAGTTTTTTGTATTTTTTTTTTAGTAGAGACGGGGTTTCACCGTGTTAGCTAGGATGGTCTTGATCTTGTGACCTCGTGATCCGCCCGTCTCGGCCTCCCAAAGTGCTGGGATTACAGGCTTGAGCCACCGCGCCCGGCCGACATTATTTCTTTTACACCATAGTTTTCAGGAATATACTGATTGTGTGTTGAAAAATATAAGTCCAGTATCAACTAATCCAGTATCACTCCACATACCCACAAAGGGCTATAGATTACTGCCATTTTAGAGGGGAAAATTAAGCTACAGAGGAGGATTAGCAACTTGCCAAAGGTCACTGTAAACCCACAAATATGTCTGGCTTGAGCTTTAGGGAATGGTACCGAGACTCCAGAAAGGATATTCCTCTTCATCTGTCACATCAGCATACTGGGCCAGGAGGGCAGCTTTTCTCTGCTTCTCCTCTTCTGACACCATCCTTGGCTTTACCACAATTTGTGCCTGCTTCTCAATTAGGGTGGCAATGGCCTGTACTTCATCTGGGAGGTGGTGGAAGGAAGGAAGAACACGGATGTATGAGAGAGAACAAGCTCACTGAACCACTAGTCCACACAGGCAGCACTTGTACTAAAGACATTGGTATCTGCTGCCTCCTTAGAGCCCGGCAGTTCAAAGGACATGGCTCCGGGCCATTGAGAAAGGAAAGGAAAGGCCATGCAGGCCAAGCTTTGTATCCATCTTCAATCAGAGCAGCCCTGATTTTACTTGTTTTATATACTGAAGTTCTGCTGCCTTAAAAAAAAAAAAAAAAAAAAAAAAAGGTTGAAAAGCACTGCATTAGAACCACAGAAAACTAAGCCTCTAAACACTCAACTTCCTCCCCCTGGCATCTCAAAAACCTAAGCAGGAATCTAAAATCAACTTAAGCTGGTCCTATTTATGTTTCTGATTATGCCAGGTAGAATTCTTAGATTAAGAACATTTTGCCATACCATAAAATAAAATCAACTAGTAAGTTCTCCATTCTCAAGAAAAGGAAGCAATGGTGTAAAATAGTAGTTCTCACACTTGGCTGCACATTAGAATCACCTATAGGAGGCCGGGCGCAGTAGCTCAAGCCTGTAATCCCAGCACTTTGGGAGGCCGAGATGGGCGGATCACGAGGTCAGGAGATCGAGACCATCCTGGCTAGCACGGTGAAACCCCGTCTCTACTAAAAAATACAAAAAACTAGCCGGGCGTGGTGGCGGCGCCTGTAGTCCCAGCTACTCGGGAGGCTGAGGCAGGAGAATGGCGGGAACCCGGGAGGCGGAGCTTGCAGTGAGCCGAGATCCGGCCACTGCACTCCAGCCTGGGCGACAGAGCGAGACTCCGTCTCAAAAAAAAAAAAAAAGAATCACCTATAGGAGCTTTTAAAAAATACAAATGCCTGGGCCCTAACCCAGGTACATTAAGTGATTCTAATATACAGCCCAAACTGAGAACCAACAGTGTACAGAGTTCAGAATCTTTCCAAATTTGGCTTTTATGTTTTGAGTTTTCTGTAGCTAACCTACCATCCTAGCGGTGAGTATATTCGCCCATTTCTTTTCCATTTTAAAGGATAAAGTGTTTAGCTGAATAAAGCCAAATACCAACCATAATTTGTGTTATGAAATGACAACATGAGGCAGGGCGCAGTAGCTCACGCCTGTAATCTCAGCACTTTGGGAGGCTGAGGTGGGCGGATCACACGAGGTCAGGAGTTCAAGACCAGCCTGGTCAACATGGTGAAACCCCCATCTCTACTAAAAACACAAAATTTAGCCAGGCATGGTGGCATGCGCCTGTAGTCCCAGGTACTCACGAGGCTGAGGCATGAGAATCGCTTGAACCTGGGAGGCAGCAGTTACAGTGAACCGAGATTACACCATTGCACTCCAGCCTGGGTGACAGAGCAAGACTCTGCCTCAAAAAAAGAGACAACATGAAAAAAGTAGGAAGTGGTAAAAATATAGTTGACTCTATACCTGCAATGCAAATCTACAAGAAGCAGTGGAAAGAAGATGAAAAACAAAAAGTGAAAAAATACAATGAAGATAACTGTGGTCAGTTGAAATGGAAAACTACAAAAAAAGAAAAGGAAGCCAGTGTTCACTAAAGAGTTAACACAGGCTGCTGGGTGTTTGCCAGTGTGCACTATCTTTGGGAAAATGAGCATCCAAGGGGAAAATGAAAATATCTCTCCCTAACAGCTATACAGTCAAGGCTGCCGGAAAATGCTCTGGAGGTTAAACATAGAAACTCTGACTCTACCTTCTTTTTTCACTTTGGTGACAACATTCTGAGTTTCTGACCATCGTTCCACAATCTCCTTGCAGATATTAAGGAGGGAATCTTCTTCCTAGTTGGAAAAGCAGACCAATTAATTTCCTGAAGGAGCCCTCAAAAACAATAACAACCTCAAAAAAGCCTATGAAGAAAGCACAGCTCTCCTTGCTGTGAAATTATGAAAGAGTCTGGGAGCCACAATAGAGTATGTTTCTTTTCTGAGGCTCTGGACACAGAATTAATCCTGCTTGTGTGTCCCAGAACCCACACCTCCTACATCAAGAACAGCCACTCCATCCTGATAAGCTCCAAGGGAAGATTCATACCAACTCAGGGCAGCCTTCCTTATTCTCTGTTAAAATATCTTATTTATTTTATTTTTAATTGACAAATAATAATTGTATATATTACATATATATGTAGGGTACCCTGTGATGTCTCAATATATGTTCACATTGTAGAATAATTAAATCAAGCTAACTAACAGATCTATTACCTCACATATTTCTCATTTTTTGGGTGATGAAAACATTTAAGGCTGGGTGCAGTGGCTCACACCTGTAATCCCAGCACTTTGGGAGACTGAGGAGGGTGGATCACTTGAAGCTGGGAGTTTGAGACCAGCCTGGCCAACGTGGTGAAACCCCGTCTCTAGTAAAAATACAAAAATTAGCCGGGTGCGGTGGCACATGCCTGTAATCACAATACTCAGGAGGCTGAGGCACAAGAATAACTTGAACCCAGGAGGCAGAGGTTGTAGTGAGCCGAGATCGTGCCACTGCACTCCAGCCTGGGAGACAGAGTGAAACTCCATCTCAAAAAAAAAGAAAGAAAACATTTGAAATGTACTCTTTTAGTAATTTTGAAGTATACAATGCATTATTTTTTATTTATTATTATTACTTTTTAGAGACAGGGTCTCACTCTGTTACCCAGGTTGGAGTGCAGTGGTGCAATCACAGCTCACTGTAACCTCAAACTCCTGGGCTCAAGCAATCCTCCTGCCTCAGCCTCTCAAGTAGCTAGGACTGCAAGCATGTGCTACCACACCTGGCTAATTGAGTGTTTGTTTGTTTTTTTTTTTAAGAGATGGGGTCTCACTATCTTACCCAGACTGGTCTCCAACTCCTGACCTCAAGCAATCCTCCCATCTTGGCCCCCCAAAGTGTTGGGATTACAGGCCTTAGCCACCATATCCAGTTGATTATTACTTATTATACTCACCATTCTATGTAACAGATCACTATATTCCTTCTGTCTAACTGCAATTTTGTACCCTTTGATCAACAATCTTCCCTTTTCCCATCCACCTCCAATTCTTTTGGAGCAAAAACCTGTTCCCTAAGTCAAAACTCCTCTGTGAAATATTCCTTGGCTGATGTATACAATTCAGAACCTTCCCTAAGGTTATCAACTTTCATGCTAGATCATATCCATTAGCTTGCTGACATATAATAAAGAGGAGATACATGAGGAAATGGTCTCTTGTCCAGCCTTCCCGCTGTCCATTTTAGAGAAGCATACATATTCTGTGTACCAACCAATCTCCCTCCTCAGCATGGTATAACAAAAATCTTGTCTTTAGTGTTAGAGATACTTAAGTTCAGATCCTGGATCTGTGAGGAAGTTTAACTTTGTGATCTTCACATTCTCCCAGGATTTTACTGAGGATAAATGAAAATGTATATATATGCCTACCCTACTTGTCAAAGAGCAGGCATCTAATAAACACGAGCATTTCCCTCCATCTTCATTACGGCTGCATTCCCCACCTTCACGTTCTGCCTCTCAGGGCAAGCTGTCAGCGTTCACATTTATTAAGCACCTACCATGTGCCAGGCACTGTTCTAAAAGCTTTACATGAGAACTCTAAATTCTTAAAATAATGCCATTAAGTTTTACTCTCAATTTACAGAAGAAAAAACCAAAGCACAGAGGTTAATTACCTTGCCCAAGGTCTTACAAGTAATAATGGATTAAACACAATTTGAACCCCAGCAGTTTGGCTTAGAGCCCATGCTCTTTTTTTTTTTTTTTTTTTTTTTTTTTTTTTTGTGAGACGGAGTCTCACTCTGTTGCCCAGGCTAGAGCGCAGTGGCGCAATCTCGGTTCAATGCAAGCTCTGCCTCCCAAGTTCACGCCATTATCCTGCCTCAGCCTTCTGAACTGGGACTACAGGTGCCCACCACCATGCCCGGCTAATTTTTTGTATTTTCAGTACAGACAGGGTTTCACCATGTTAGCCAGGATGGTCTTGATCTCCTGACCTTGTGATCCGCCCACCTTGGCCTCCCAAAGTGCTGGGATTACAGGTGTGAGCCACCGCGCCTGACCGAGCCCATGTTTTTAACCATTATATACACCATCTCCCAAAGAAAAGTGGAGAGTCAGAACACAGACTTATTATGTATATCCTTATTTTGTACCCAACAAAGGATTTCTTCCTCTGCCCTGCATCCTTTTAGCACATATGCTAGACACACAGAACTTACTTGGTCCAGAGTTTCAATAGTTCATGGGTTTTCCCCAAACCCCACCAGCAAGAAAAGCAAAGGAAGAGAAAAAGAAAAAAGGATGAGAAAGTGGTACAGCTCTTTTAAAATCCCCCACCAAAAGAAAAAGAATGGCAGGAAAAGGAGCAGCAGAGAGGCAAAAGAGAACAAGAACTCTTAGAGGACAAAGTGGTTTATTTCCTCAGTCTCCTCATCCAAATCAAAGTAGTTCAATCATCCATTCCTTCATTTATTTACACAGAAGGTGTCTGCTATGTTCAAGGCACTAAGAGGAAAGTTTATCCTACTTACAATACTCCTTTTTCCCTAGCACTTATCACTTTGTAACATACTATATAATTTACTAGTAATGCTTTTCCGTGCTAGAATGTAACCACATGAGGGCAGGAATTTCTATCTGTTTTATTCCTTGAAGTGCCCCAAGCACTTAGGGCAGTGCCTGGCATACAGTAATCCATCAATAAAAATTTGATAAATCAATCAATCAACCAATACAAGTACTGTTGAAAAGAAGGATGATAGAAAGCTTTTGTTTACTGTTTATTTGCTCCTCACTATATGCCACTGTTCTTGAATTTTACCTCAGATTATTGCTAACAAACTTCTTAATTCCTCATATTAAATCCTAGCCCAAGTCAAGCACAGAGGCTCACATCTGTAATCCCAGCACTTTGGGAGGCCAAGGCAGGAGGATCTCTTGAGTCCAGGAGCATAAGACCACCCTGGGTAACATGGCAAAACTCCGTCTCTACAAAAAAAAAAATTTTTTTTAATTAGCCAGGCATGGCTGGGCATGGTGGCTCACGCCTATAGTCCCAGAACTTTGGAAGACTGAGGTGGGTGGATCACTTGAGGTCAGGAGTTTGAGACCAGCCTGGTCAACATGGTGAAACCCCATTTCTACTAAAAATACAAAAATTAGCCAGGCATGGTGGCGTATGCCTGTAATCCCAGCTACTCGGGAGGCTGAGAATCACTTGAACCCAGGAGGAGAAGTTACAGTGAGCCGAGATCTTGCCACTGCACTCCAGCCTGGGTGACAGAGTGAGACTCTGTCTCAAAAAATAAAACATAAAACATAAAAAAAAAGTGAGCCAGGCATGATATGTGATGGCAGGTGCCAGTAGTCCTAGCAACTTGGGAGGCTGAGGGGGGTGGGGGGATTGCTTGAGTCCAGTCATTCAAGGGTACAGTGAGTTATAATCACATTACTATAACAGAGCGAGATTCTGTCTCTTAAAAAAGAAAAAAAGGAAAACTAATGTTTACCTTTATCAACAGAAACAGCTCCAAATGATGATGGACTGATCAAGAAGCTGGTACCAAGAAGTATCAAAGTCATTTCAACAGCTTCATGGAGTGTTTAGAAACTTCCCAGTCGTAAATAAAAACTAACTTAAATTGCTTGCCTCCTACTCTTTCCCCCTGTAATCTGTAATGTTGTGGTCCAAAAAAAGAATTGATTCCACTGTCTTGTATTTCCAGTGAACTTCCGAGCTGCCTCACAAGCTGTGTTAAAGTTTTCCCATTTATAAGCCAATCTTGCCAGAAGAGGCTCTGGAACTCAAATGGGTTACTGCCAGAAGAATCTGGGACAGCTGCACTAGTGTTATGTTTCAACCATGTACCCAATCTATGAACTGCTTCCACCAAATGTGAGTGATTTTTTCCTAGCACTTGTTTCCGCTTTCACGAAACACTTTTGGATTTGAAAATGTTTTCTGCCTTCTACCCTTTAAAAAAAAATGAGGTATGTATATGTATATTTATATCTATATATATTTATAGTAATTATTTTCTTAGAGAAAAAAAATTGACAAGGTCTTACTCTGTCACCCAAGCTGGAGTGCAGTGGCACAATCACAGCTCACTGCAGCCACAACCTCCTAGGTTCAAGTGATCCTCCCACTTCAGACTCCTGAGTAGCTGGGACTACAGGTATGCACCACCATACCCGGCTAATTTTTTAAATTTTTTTGTAGAGACAGGGTCTTGCTACGTTGCCCAGTCTGGTCTGGAAATCTTGGCCTCAAGCAATCCACCTGCCTCAGCCTCCCAAAGTGGTGAGATTACAAGCATGAGCCACTGTGCCCATGTCATAGTACATTTTGATTCTCTTTATTACTAGCCTCTCAAAATTCATTTTGAGAATAACAAAGAATCCATTTTCCTAACCTGTTCATTGTAATAAATGCCAGAGGATAAAGCCTTTGATGGACAGACAGGTGGCTCTCACAGTAGCAGTCAGGTATCCAGGATCTCCTCTAATCCATGAATGCAGAGGCAACTCTAGCTTCTACAGCATTTAGTGATGATTCAAGTAAATTTTATTTTTAAGCTTGTATTTAAAAGGAAACAATTTGTTAGACAGCCACAGGTAGCACCTGCAACCAATTTAATCTGTAATAACCAGTCTAATAAGTGTGTATGTTGGAGATGTGGGAAGTGAAGATGAAGGCAGCAGAAATGATAGGTTGAAAAAGTGGACATCTGGGTGACTTACTATGTAAACATAGCTTAAAGTACACATTTCTGAATACCTTGCTTCTAATAGGCTAACGACTGAGTTTATCTCTCTTCGTTAAAGCTCTGATCTCTCTCATACCCTCCTTCCCACCACCAATGATTACTGTAAATACCGTAATGGATCAAGCACGACGTTTGCTTCAGTTCTGCGTGGGCATGAAAAGACTTCTACCACCAGCTTACCTTTTACGGACTCCTACATCCAAATAAGAATCAAAAGGGCACTTCCTGCAGGCTTTTGTCATGGGACGGCCCTGGGAACTGCCTTGTAATAGGCACAGACCTGCCAAGAGCATTTTAATACCCCCAGTGAACACTGTAAACGGATGGAAATGGAATTGGTCGTCAGATATTTATGATAACATTCCCATTATGACATCTCAATGCCTTCGGAAGAACCCTCCTGGGCTCACTCACAAGCATCGGAGAGGGCCTTGTCCCCAAGAATATGAGAAAGCCCTTCCTCTCTGTGTACCTGCAGCTTTCAGGCTTCCCACACCTGGTTGGGGAGCAACCTCCTTCCCCCGCCGCCCAGATAGCAGAGGAGTATACCTCTCCCAAGTGAGACCACTGAGCCTCTGGGATACCCGGTAGGGGACGGTGGGTGCAAAGTACTGACAGGTCCCCAGATGCTGGCCAGAGGCTGTAGGAATGTGTCCAGGCTACTCACCAGGAAAGCAGAGAGGATCCCCTGAAGAGCGTCCAGCTTCTCTTCTTCCTCCTCCTCCCGCAGGACACCCAAGATGTAGGCTCCGTAAACGGCTCGGTCCACTCCCAGTGCCTCCAACCGTCCGTCCAGCCAGGAGCCAAACCCGCCGCCTCCGCCTCCACCATCGCCTTCGCCAGGGGCTACCGCGGCCACTTCGCTGGGCGCCGCCATCTTGGGGTCAGGGTCCTGCCAGCCCCTGGGGCGCCTACCGCACTGCCTGACGGGCCGCGCCGCAGGTCCACGGCGCATGCCTGAAGAGGGAGCCTAGGGCCGTATGTGCAGAGAGCGCATCCCAGGCGGCCGGTGCCGGCTGGCTTGAGAGTTTTGTGCTTTCTGGATGAAGCGAGTCTTCGCATACTTGCGGTCGCGTGATCTCACAAGATCCTTGGCGTGTGAATATTCTTAACAGACTCATTCTACAGTTCGGGAAGTTGAGAGAGGTTCAGTAATTTGGCCAAAGTTACGCGGCTAATAACTACCCAGGACTGGAGCTCAGCGTGGATTCCAGCGCTTCCTCCATCCGACCGAGCTGCCCTCCCCGCGCACTCAGGGGATGCTAGCCGCCCACTCCCACACAGTTGTCTAGCAGGAACCTCCTGACCGCCTGGAATACCCTCGTCGCTACCGACGGCTACCACCTTCACCCCTACAAGCCCTTCCCCGTCAAAGTAAAGGTTGCAGAAAACCTTCCCTCATTCCATGGTAGGCATTCAGTAAATAAACAGTCAACCTCAAGTCATTTCTTCCACTCACTCATTGATTCAGCGCATGCACGGGACTATTCTTTGGGAGCCTACCCCACCCTCTGCCAGGCACTGTGCCAAGAGCTTTTCATGCATTATCTCTTGTAATCCTCCCTACAGCCCTGTGGGGAGATGCTTTTATTGTCCACATTTTAAAGATAACGAGACAGGTCGGGCGCCGTGGCTCAAGCCTGTAATCCCAGCAGTTTGGGAGGCCGAGGCGGGTGGATCACCTGAGGTCAGGAGTTCGAGACCAGCCTAGCCAACATGGTGAAACTCCGTCTCTAGTAAAAATACAAAAATAAGGCCGGGCGCGGTGCCTCACTCCCGTAATACCGGCACTTTGGAAGGCCGAGGTGGGCGGCTCTCCTGAGGTCGGGACTTCCAGACCAGCCTGACCAAAATGGAGAAACCCCCTTCTCTACTAAAAATACAAAATTAGCCAGGCATGGCGGCACATGCCTATAATCCCGACCTAGGAGGCTGAGGCGGGAGAATCGCTTGAACCCAGGAGGCGGAGGTTGTGGCGAGCCGAGATCGTGTCATTGGACTCCAGCCTGGGCAACAAGAGCGAAACTCCATCTCAAAAAAAAAAGAAAGAAAGAAAGCCAGGTGTGGTGGCGCGGGCCTGTAATCCCAGCTACGCAGAATCGCTTGACCCTGGAAGGCGGAGGTTGCAGTGAGCCAAGATCGCGCCACTGCACTCCAGCCTGAGCGACAGTGAGACTCTATCTCAACAAAACAAAACAGAACACTAAAGATAAGGAGACAGATATGGAGAGAGTCACACAACTAGAGAGCGCCTAATCAGTGGCAAGAACTCTTCTTTGGCAGAGGTATGAGAGCCTCAGCTGACGGCAAAACACCTGGCTCTAGGCTGGCATGAATTACCCAAGAATTTGGTTGGCTTTACCTGAAGTACAGAGGAAGCTGGCAAGGTCCTGGCTAACTCTTTCCTCAAATATGTACTGGGTACCTTCAGTATGGCATTGTTGCTGGCACTGAAAACACAAAAATGAATGTCACAAAATGTATGTCTTCAAGGGACATACGTCAATCTTCAATCTAGTAGGAACAGACATGTTTAAACAAATGATGACAATATAGTGATAGTTTTGGAGCTTTATCTAGCAGAGGTTGCAGTAGGATGCCTAGAAGATTGAGTTAACTTTACCTGTTGAAGTGGAGTTGGAAACTGGTAGGGAGAGGGTCGTAGGAAATCCAGGAAGGCTTCCCAATGGAGATGATGCTTGAACTTTCTTGAAGAATGGTAGGAGTTCTTTACGCAAAGGGAGTGGAGGGAAAACGGGGGCAGATCCAGATGCAGGGGAACAAAGGCTTGCTCAGGGGCCTCCAGAGAGTCATGTATGGCTTGAGCTACAGGGTTCAAATAGAAGATATTCAGAGGATAACAACAAAAAGAGAAGGAAAGGAGTTTGTATACTTTGCAGAGGTCCTCTTATTGCAGAGGTCTACCCTTAGTGGCTTTGGGATTATGTAAATGAATGGACACTAAATGAATGGCACAGATACAAATGTAGAAATACAGCAGAGTGTAAATTTTAATCGTGTGGTTTCTGTGTGCTCTCTGAGTTAGACAGAATGTGACACTAATGGAGTCAGAGGCCAGAGTCAGCCTCCAAAGGCTTGCCTCTTTTTCAAGTCCTCAGGTATTCTTTCTAATCTAGTAGCTGTCTTGCATGTGGGGTTTGTCAGTTCACAGACCTGGGTGCCGTCGTGTCTCAAGGATCATAGTTGGTCAGTGCAGAGCCCCCAAACCAGAAAAACCTCACAAAATTTTTTTTTTAGAAATACAGCCTTACAAGAAGTTTCAAAAATGGTACATAGAGTCCTGCACACCTTCACCCAGTTTCCCCCAATAGTAACATCAAACATAAAGACGATATAATAGTAAATCAGGAAATTGATACAGGTATAATACAGTAAGTTGTTTTTGGTTTTTGTTTTGAGGCGGAGTCTCACTGTTGTCGCCCAGACTGGAATGCAGTGGTATGATCTCGGCTCACTACAACCTCTGTCTCCTGGGTCAAACAATTCTCCTGCCTCAGCCTCCCGTGTAGCTGGGATAACAAGCACGCAGTACAACACCTGGCTAATTTTTTTCCTATTTTTAGTAGGATGGGGTTTTGCCATGTTGGCCAGGCTAGTCTCGAACTGCTGACCTCAGGTGATGCACCCACTTCGGCATCCCAAAGTGCTGGGATTACAGGCATGAGCCACCACACCCAGCAATAATGCAATAAGGTTTTTTGAAAGCATCAACAAGCTTCTCAAAAACTGAATGAAGGTACTCCAGACCCTAAATTTTAAGAATATCCTCAATGGCTATTTTACTACAAAAGTAACAATAGCTCATGCTTTAAAAAATATTATATAAGGCTGAGTGCAGTGGCTCATAATACCAGCACTTTGGGAGGCCAAGGAGGGTAGATCAGCTGAGGTCAGGAGTTCGAGACCAGCCTGGCCAACTGGTGAAACCCTGTCTCTACTAAAATAATACAAAAAAATTAGCCGGGTGTTGTGGTGGGTGCATGTAATCCCAGTTACTTGGGAGGCTGAGGCAGGAGAATTGCTTGAACCTGGGAGATGGAGGTTGCAGTGAGCCGAGATCACGCCATTGTACTCCAACCTGGGCAACAAGGGCAAAACTCTGTCTCAAAAAAAAAAAAGAAAAAATTATATAAATGGACAAGTGACAAATGGAAAGCTTACAAAAAATAAAATACGCAAATTAAGATTGCAGTGAAATACCACATCTGCTTTTCAGATCAAAAAAGTCTGATAATATGCTGTATTGAACTGTGTTTGGGTAAAGATGTTGGAAAATGTTGGAGCAGAAAGTAGATGGATCTGGTCTTGTTGGAGGACTGTTTGTTTGAAAAGACCCAGCATTTCTGCTTCTGGGAATTTGTTCATAAGTTATTTATTTATTTTTATCTTTACTTGTAGTAAAATATAAAATTTGCCATCTTAACCATTTTTAAGTATACAGTTTAACAGTGTTAAGTATTATTTTTAAATTTGTTGGTTTAAACCGGGTGTGGTAGCTCATGTCTGTAATCCCAGCACTTAGGGAGGCCAAGGCAGGTGAATCACCTGAGGTCAGGAGTTCAAGACCAGTCTAGCCAATATGGCAAAACTCCGTCTCTACTAAAAATATAAACATTAGCCAGGTGTGGTAAGGCATGCCTATAGTCCCAACTACTCGGCTACTTGAGAGGCTGAGGCAGGAGAATCGCTTGAATCCGGGAGACAGAGGTTGCAGTGAGTTGAGATAATGCCACTGCATTCCAGCCTGGGCAACAGAGTGAGACCTTGCCTCAAAAAAAGAAAAAAATTTTGATTTAATATTTTGTATAATGGCCAGGCACCCTGGCTTACACCTGTAATCTCAGCACTTTGGGAGGCTGACAAGGGAGGATTGCTTGAGGCCAGGAGTTCAAGACTAACCTGGGCAACATAATGAGACCCCAGCTCTACCAAAAAAAAAAAAAAAAAAAAAAATGTGGTGGTGCATGTCTTTTGTCCTACCTACTCAGGAGGCTGAGGCAAGAGGATCACTTGAGCCCAGGAGCTCAAAGTTACAGTGAGCTATGATGACGCCACTGCATTCTAGCCTGAACAACAAAACAAAACCCTGTCTTTAAAAAATAAAACTGTACATTTGTGTAGAATAACATATTTCTAAGGATATCTGTTGCAGTAAAGCTTTCTCTAGTAAAATAATAGTCTACATTTTATGTATATGAGACTGGTTCAAAAAGTCTGGTAGCCACACAAAGAAGTATTGTGCAGCTGTAAAAAAAAAATGAACAAAGAGGCCGGGTGCAATGGCTCGTGCCTGTGGTCCCAGCACTTTGGGAGGCTGAAGCAGGTGGATCACCTGAGGTCAAGAGTTCGAGACCAGCCTGACCAACTAAAAATACAAAAATTAGCTGGGCATGGTGGCAAACGCCTGTAATCCCAGCTACTTGGGAGGCTGAGGCAGGAGAATCGCTTGAATGCGGGAGGCAGAGGTTGCAGTGAGACGAGATCATGCCATTGCTCTCCAGCCTGGGATACAGAGCAAGACTCTGTCTCAAAAAAAAAAAAAAAAAAGGAAAAAGAAAAAAAAAGCTCTTTATGCACTGACATGTGTCAAAGTTCAAGATACATTGTTTAAAAAGTACAGATCAATAATGTGTAATGTTTGCCACCATCACTATTTAAAAAGAAGGTAGAGTAGGGTAGAGTAATACATGTACATATGTGTCCTTGTATGTGCATAGAATATCTCTGGAAAGATACACCAGGGATGTGTGAGGATGGTTGTCACTGAGGAGGAGAACTCAAGGAGATTGGTTTTGAGCTGTTATATTTATTTACTTTGTATCTTTTTTTAAAAGAAAGCAAATTTGAAGCCCTCTCTCCAACCTCATTTTCTTCCCTCTCTCCCCACATGTAACTACTATTCCTGA